TATATATATATATATATATATATATATAAATGACAAACCAACTAACCAACTTCATCCACCAACAATATACCAAGTTAGTAAATCATACATACTATAAATTTAAGATAATTAGATTAAAAAAATTATATTTATTTATTTTTTAAAGTTTGGAAATCAAAATATATCAAAATTTCAAAAATTTTAATTTTACATTAATAATTAAAAAATAAAAACATATTTAACCTATAAATAATATATTAACACACTTAATTTCTACTATTTTTTAAAGTTGGACTGAGAGCATAATTGCACCTCTTCAATTTTATAAATTTACAATAAAATGTATTAAGTTTCAATTTTTACATACTCTAAATATATATTCATGTGTATTTTATATCATCAATAAAAAAATATTAATTGATGAAGTACTTTGAATGCTTTTAATCCGTTTACCAAACTTAAAATACATGCATCGTAAAACTAAAGTAATATCTACACATACATGTTACGGAGTGATTTAATCCAATAAAGAACTTAAGAAAAAAACTTTAAACTGTTTTTTAATTTAACTAACAAAGCCTCGATTTAATCTATTAAAATGTTTTTATCTATTTGGCACATGTCATTTTAATTGACACTAGTAAAAAATCGTATTTTTAACTCGCATATTACGCTTCGGTTCCAGCAAAATCGAAGCGTATCAAAACACAGTGGCAGTTTCGTAATATTTAGAACACTTTATGCCTTGGTTATCAAGCAACCGATGTCTAAAAAGAATACTGCCTCGGTTAGCAGGGTGAACCGAGGCATAAACCCCACATATATTATATTAATTAAACCTTTCACCTGGTACGTTTGTGGTGGCAGGAAGGACCGAGACATATAAGCCTTTACTGCCTCGGGGGCAGGAAGGACCGAGGCATATAACCTTTTCTAATATACGAAAGATGAAAATTTTCTCAAAATGCCTCATTCAAGCAAGGAAAACCTAGTGCGACCGAGTGCCTTCTTTCTCGCGTCGTCTGCTCCGAGTGCGACCTCGCCACTCCACCGACGACATCGTCAGCTCCGAGTGCGGCCTCGTCCCCGACCACGCCACCGGCGACGTCGTTTGCTCCGAGTGCGACCTCATCCTCGAGTCCCACTCCATCGACGAGACCTCCGACGGGCGACAACGACCCCAACCGTGTCGGCGATCCAAGTGGAACAGAAAGTTGATCGGAGTCAAGTTCTTTGCCAAGGGTTGTGAGGCCATGTTGGGTCCTATTAACGACACTGAGGAGTCTAGATCCCCTCGCGACGATGACGGTCACGACACCCACACAGCCAGCATAGCCACAGGATCGGTGGTTTTCGGCGTAAGTCTTTTTGGTTACGCATCCGGGACGACGCAAGGGATGGCGACGCACGCGAGAGTCGCTGCTTACAAGGCTTGCTGGAAGGGAGGGTGGAATGGCTGATTATTATAGAGGAGCTAGTGGCTGATGCTCATTTGTTGCTGGCGTCGGCGGTGGTGAAGAAATTGATTTTTAGGGATGACAACCTTCACAATGCTGATTGCATCAAAACCCATAAGCCTTTGATTCTTACAAAAGCTAAAAAGTTTTTTTTTTCTGATTTTCAAGACGTTGCTAGTATTTCTGATTTTCTGATTTTTTCTATGGCAAAGTTATGCACTCCATGGACTACTCCAATATGGACAATGACATTGTTCCTGAATTGATCAAAGGAAAAAGAATCATAGTAATAGGCTCACATAAACATGCTATTGATCTTGTAGCTGAATGTGCAAATGCAGATGGTGAGAAATTGTTTTGGTTGCAAAATATTATACTCAACCTGCAGAAGAATTTATTTTGGTTTTGTCCTACATCACTGGCTAGTTTAGTACTTCGCAATTTTTCCCTTCTGATGTTTTACTCCACAAATCACTTTTGCAGGAGTCATGCATCCTTGCATAATTATCCAAAGGATTGCATACTAGTTTTTTCCAGATTTCCAGACTTGTGGCCATTGAAGAAGTATGGATTGATACCTAGTCACAGCTTTAGATGTGTAATGGGACCACCAAATGCATATATTGTTACAAACTAATGTCCCGCTGCACAAGAATGTATTCTTTCGTAAAATATAAAAAAAAAACCTTCTACTGCCTCAGTTCAACTCCAAACCGAGGCATAAGACCTCCTGTACTGACTCAGTTCACCAGTAACCGAGGCGAAACCATACACCTTTATGCCTGGTTCAGAACCGAGGCAAAAAGTGGTAGACTTTCTACCTCGCCTGTATAAACCTCAGTTGCGGAACCGCTGCAGATAGACGAAAATAACCGCTGTCGTTTCCCTTTACTGCGCTAGTGTGATTAAATCTTCGTTTAAATTGATTACAATGACTTAAAACTAAGACAAGTTTTAGAGAGAAGTTTTAATATATTAAAACTTTATTTTAATAGATTAACCTTTTTGTGTATTCAAAAGTCTTAGATTACTCTATACTAATTTGTTAAAACATATTTTCAATTTATTGATTTCCCGAGTAAGTGAAACTAATAAGTTAAAATATAGTTTGAATTTATTAAAGTAAATACACCATATGGTCGGACGAC